GCACCCCCACGTCCTGCGCCCCAGCCGTCCCCCACACACGCTGCAGCCGGAGGAAAGGGAAAAGCAAGACCGGAGAGCCGAGGGACGCAAGGGAGCAGGGGCGCGTGAGGAAGGGGAGGCAGCTGAGGCAAAGGGGAAGACCCGGCATGACTCCAGGGTGTAGCCGATCAGTGTGCAGGGCTGAGGCTCGGGAGGGTGGGGAAGGCAAAGCTGCTTCCCTCAGGGGCCCTGGTCCCTTCCAGCCCTTGCATGCAGCACCCGCAAGTACCCAGACACCGAATTTGGCTCAAACCTCTGCTAATAGGAATGCCAGCCTGTGGTGGAAGAGGAGGGGCAGCCCTGGCCCAAGCTGCCAGCACCCACCGGGTCCCAACCCTGGAGCCCCACAGGGCTGGCAGCACCTTCCCCCTGGCCAGGCCGCCCCAGGCAGGGGTGCCAGCCCAGCTCTGCAGCAGGGCAGGACAGGGCTGCTCAAGCACAGCCGGGGCCAGGACATGGCCAGCAACTCCACCAGTTCACCTTCCCCCCGGACTGCAGGCTGTTGCTTCCGCTGGACTTGTGCTGTGCTGCCAGCTCCCCTCTCCAGCCCTTCTCCCGTCCACAGGGAAGGGCTGGCAGGGATCTCCACTCCCAGACGCCAAGGAAATCCTGGAAGGCAAAGCTAAATCCTATTCCAGGGCCCTGCATGCCAGCAGGCCCCGTCTCACCCTTCAGCTTCCTTAGCAGATATTTAAATACATTTAAAAGAAGAAACAAAGCAAGAAGAATCAGTGTGAAGTACCAAAAACCTTTATTTTTCCCCCAAACCATAACAACATTTGACATTATATTGATTTCCTCATATATTTGTTATTTCTCTACGTTAGGAACCAGATACAGAAAATACAAACACGATCTGTTGAATCAAAGACGGCACAGCATTCCGTTAGAAAAAGAAACAAAAAACTAGAGGAGCAAGATAAAAATGGTGAAAAATAGTCATTCCCTCCAGCCCAAACTTTCCAAGAATCATCATCAAAATAGAGCAGTGGAAGTAGCTTCTCTTTCTAAACGCACTTCTGCTTTAAGAAAAAAGTTAGATTTATCTTTAGATTTCAAAGTAAAAAAATGTTAAACTCTTTTTCAAGCAATTTTGGAAGTTTGCATAGACCCATTCCCTTTCCAAAAATATCAGCAATCTCTCTATAGAATCTGATATAAATCAAGTGCGTGCCTCATCTGAAGATCACCAAGCTCAATTAACTTTCAAGAAAATAAAACACGATCTCCCCTTCCCCTCCCTCCCCCCACAAAAATACGGGCTCTACCGTTATTCCTTGTGTTTGAGGCAATTTATGAGGCTCAGCCACACCTCTCCCTCACAGCTTCATCCAAATTCCTTTTTTTTATTTCCCAGGTTTCCACATCTGCTCCCTCCCGATGGGGCAGGGGCAATGCAACACAGAGCTGCGGAGGGCATCAGGCTCAGATGGTGTGGGTGGGCTGATGGACGACACAAGCTCTCGGGAGGGAAGTGGTGGTGGTGGGGGAATTTTGCCCTCATCAATTCCCCCCCTCCCCCAGCAAGGAAGTGGCTTTTCAAGGACAAACACCTGCAACCAGGCAGTGTTTGTAGGAACTTGCTCCTGGGGACCAGCCTTGTCCACAGGGCTCAGTCACCAGAGCAAGAACTCAGCTAGAGACTAGGTAGGGTGGCAGGGGACAGGGCAGGAGGGGCGGAGGGTGAATTTGCAGCTCCCGGGTAAGGCAGCGAGGAGGGGAGCGAGGCGACCCCTCTCCAGGAGGGGTGTTTAACCTAGGTGCTCTAGCGTACCTGGAGTGAGGTTTTTCCCAGAGGTTCACAACAGCGCGTGCAGAGTCCAGCTGCACAGCCACCAGTTTAAAAAGAAACAGCAACGACAAAATAAATAAAAAGTCAACCCCTCCTATTAAGATGAGAATGAAATACGTATTCTTCAGGTCTTGGCCTGGTTTGGAACCCTCTAAAAACCGAAGCAAACATTTAAAAGGGCCTATTAACTTTCTGCAGGGGGCAAAGTGATGTGGCAACGAGGGGGGGAGAGATCACATGCCTGCTGCCCATCGAACCGAGGGTCAGGACAGCACAAAGGCCCCCATTTAAAGTGCCAACCATACAAAAAAAGATGGAGGAGCAACATCCTTCTCCCCCTTTTTCCATCACAATTTCCAACTGAAACCCATCTCCTTCACCAAGTCACAACTAAACCTATTCTTTTGGACATACACTCAGTTTATATCGGTTTTAAAAAAAAAAAGTTAGTAAAAAAAGTTACATTGAATTTCCCAACTCCTTGCAATGGTCTTCCACCAATAAAAGGCCCAGAAACTGGGAAAGCAGAGCCCACACGTTTCGCCTGGCCCCGAGATGTGAGCAGAGAACCAGCTCTGCTCTCCAGGGCCAGCCAGGCGTGAGCAGCCCAGCTCACCAGCATCAGAGACCCAGGGGATGCAGAGTCTTGCCAATAAGGTCCTTTTACTTGTTTAAGCCACCTCTGAATCCCCTGAGAAGGGGAACAATGTGGGGAAGAACATCCCCCCCTCAGCCCCCCAGGAATAAAATATCAATGAAACAATAATGCAGTCAAAAAAAAAAAAAAAACCACCAGCCTGCTGGGTTTATAAAAACAAAATTCAATAAACTTCATGACAAAAAAAAAAACCCAAAGGAAACTAGCCAGCGGTTTGGGTCTGGAAACTGGTTCACTTCTTAAATGTTCAAAGTCCAACAACAAACAGATGGCAGCGATGCCACAAGGAAAAAAGTGCTCACGAGACGCAGCTTCCCGGGAGATGGCAGCGAGTCTGCAGGACAAGCAACCCCACTTCCATCACCACCGCCTCGTACGTCCATCACCGGCCAAGGACCGCTGGGCATTGCTCGTGATGGACGCGCAGCGGGAGCTCTGTGTGGGATCTAGAAATAGGAACAGACTGCTCCTTCCTCCCTCCGGGTCTGCTCTGGGTGCTCCAGCCCTGGCTGTGCTGCACCAGGCTGAATGACTAGGGCTGCTTTCTTATTCAAAACAAGGGGTAGGAGAGCTAAAAAGCTACGTAAAGACCAGGATCTGTGGAGTCAATCATAATGTAGGGACAAGGAAGAGATACCCTATGAGACACAGTTATCAAAAACGCAAGCAGTGATGTGCCAAGCCGCTGGAAGAGAAGCCAGGGACATGCCCAGGTTGGCCACAGCTATGCGATGGAGCAGGTTATGCCTCTGCCAGCCTGGGAAGATAAGACCAGCTTTGTGAAAAGCTCAACTGCTTCTCCTCTTATTTTGCTGGGAAGATTCCTCCCTCTGTCCCACTGGGGATTCCGTGACATGCTGAGCTGCCAGCGCCTTGGAGCAGCCAATTCTTGCCAATGGGAGCAGAAGAAAGCCCTGGGTTCCCAACTGCTCTGACAGTGACTACCCTTGTTTTTCATGGGAACAGAAGCAAAGCAGCAGAAGAAAGCTGGGTTTTGGCCTCTTTCCTGGCTTGTGTTGGCTCCTTTCAAGTGCTCGTTGGACCCGATTTTCCAAGGGGCTTCGCTGGCCCCTGGGGAGCAGCAGGAGCTGGGGAGCAGCCTGACCCTCAGCTCCGCATGGCCATCTGCAGACAAGGCAGGAACACCTGAGCCTGCTTCTGCCCTCACATGACCTGAGCAGAGGGTCAGGACAGGCCTGGCTTCTGGCAGAGCCCCAGGGAGAGAGAAAAGCAAGTGGTTCTCCCCTTCCTGCAGACATGCATCACCCCAGGAGCAGGGCAGGATGCTCACCGGCCTGGTAGCAAGTGCCAAACCTACCCAGACTGAACAAAGAAGAGATCACCATTAAAAAACACCAGCAAGTGTGAAAGAGTTTTTTGTTCTAGACAGACTCAAAAGATCCAATACTTTTCCCTACGTTAAACCAAGCCAAGGTGTTGTCTGTACCCCTTCTTACCCTAATCCAAATTTAATTCCCATTGAAGGGAAAGGGTGAAAAAGATCCGTATCCTATCTGTGGTCTGTCCAAATACAGAAAGAAACCTCTTGAAGAGAGAAACTGTCGAAAGAGTAAGCAGCTGTATAGCTTTGCCACATTGCCTAGCACCCTCTGCATGCAGCCATCCTTAGCTAGCAGGGCGAAAAAAAAAAATATAAATCAAGGCCCTTTCATTCCTTGTTTCTCATTCTGCCAAATTCCCTTTTCCAGTAGCTCATCTGCATGCATTCTGGCCACAGAGACCACAATTAATCCTTTTTTTTTTTCTCCTTTTAAAAAAAGGCTTTACAATAACTAAGAATTTGAACAACAATGTGATCAGTTACAAGTCTTTCCTTGCTGAATGGGACAAGTGTGTGCCTGTGCGAGTGTGATGCACACGTGTGTCAGAGGAGGGCACGTTCCCAGCCATGCCTGGGAGTGTGCCATTGCTCCAAGTGCATGGCCGTTGAGTGCTACTACAGTACACTGGCAAAAGAGGAAAGGGCTCTACACAGAAATAGCTTATCGGCTGAGAGTCTCTGTACAGGAAGGGCTGCAAGCACAGCCTGCTGACGGCCCACGGCTGGAGTCTGCATAGATCCTCGTTTGCAACTCAGCTGCCAGGAGAATCTATAAGTGGGAGCTGAAAGGGACTGACATCTCTGCCACACGCTGCAAGGACAAGAGGCAGCTAAAGTGTCAAACAACCATGGAAACCAAACCCAAAGAGCAATTGAAAGATCAATCAGAAAACAGTTGGAAGCCTTGTCAGAAGAGTTCACTTGCCATGGAGCAGGTAAGAACGGCTGCTGTGGCTAACACAGCAAACACCCATTCAACCTTGAAGGCAGAAACAGTGGCTTCTCCCCAGCCCCAAAAGGAACCAGCTGAGGCATAGATCCCTGCTGACAGAGCAAGAAAGGCCAACGAACACCAATACCCTCACTGGCCCAGGCCAAGAGAGGCAATTGTTAATCACCACCACAACGGAGAGACCACTGTAGTCAACTGCATCCTGCTCTGGCCCAGGGGAGGGCTATCGGATAACCAGATTCTTTTCACAGTCCAAGAAGGGCAGTTCCCTTCCTGAGAGAAAATTTAAAAAAAAAAAAAAAAAAAAAAAAAAAAAAGAGGCTTCGTATTCCAAGCTCCAACAGCGACTATTTGCTGAATCAGTCCAGTGAACGGGGATTACACTTCTGGAACAGCAAGTAGAAGCCTCCTCCGGGTAAAATCTGGAACCTGTAAAGTGCTCCTGCTAATGCTAATAGATGAACACTGCCCTTCCATGCCCAGCAGTGAAAGGGCGTAATGCAGTTAGTGGTATAACAAGCACTAGCATTTAACCATTTATCAACTCCCATCTGGATTGTGGTAGTTTTCTGAAATGCACTTTTGGGAGATACTTCCTATGAGAAGAGGATGTTTGGGGATTTGAGGGTGGGAAGGTGAAGTGCACACCATAGCATACCTTGTTCAGTAAAACCGTTGCCTTGGAAGGTGATGTTCCCTTGCAGAGTCAATGGGATAAAGCATCCTGCAAGTGGCCATTTCACCGTGTCACCAACAAGCAGCTCTCGGTTTGGTTAGAATGGTTTCCCCCTCCCCCAGTGGTTTGAAGAGTTCACAGTGGTATAACCCAATGTTTTGGGAAGAAAGAAGCTGAGAAGTCCCCTGTTGCAAGTGAATGGATGGAGTTAGGGATGCAGATGAGCGACATCCTCTAGGATTAAGGATAAGCCCAACAGACACCTTGCGTCTGGTCAGAAACAGGGGGAAGGCAGGCACTGGAAGAACCGGGAAGCAGAGAAGGGTAATACCAATGCAGGGAAAGTGCATGATCTGGAGTGGTCTCGGAGTAGTTCTGCAGTGCAAACGTACAGGGAGGGGTGTGGAGAAATCCCTTCTGGAATGCTGCATGAAGAGAGGTAAAGGTTGGCATCCATGTGGCAGCGGACGGGGTAGGGGACCTGTTTCCAGCAGCTCTACCCTGTTCTTCACATTTAGTGGGTTTCAATCACCACTGGCTCGTAAACTCCAGATGAGACCCTGGGGAGGCAGAGGGGAAGAAGATGAGAAATCCAGGTTATTTTCCTCAGTCACTTAGAGCAAGTTCTTATTCAGAGCTCTCGACTCACAAATATCGCCCTCTAACCCCACACAAAATACTGAAAATAACAAGTCAGTCTGGCAAGAAGTCAACCCTCATAACACAAAACAGACAGCTACGTGGCAAGCTAACACTGGAACACTTGAAAGAGCTGGATGTAGCACATGAATCCTTCTAAAGGACAGAGGAAAGGGGGGGCGGGGGGAGGGGGAGTATCCTGCGCAAAGAGCCAGTGTTCCTGGCTTTACTTTGCTCCCAATTCTGTCACTGACTTGACACATCTTTGCATTACCATTATTAGTTTGGGTTTTTTTTAAACCTCAAAAGGTGCTGTAAAGGCTCAAACACAACTAGCCAAGACTGCATTAAGAGCTATTGTGGCAAGAAAAAGTTTTATTTGTTCAGAAGTCTTTCATGAGATAACAAGCTGTCGACAAAGATGGAGGAGGCAGGGAAAAGGGGTAATAAACCAGGGTGCTGCAGTTCTGTTTCAGGCCAGCAGGAGGCAAAGCTCTCTGCCTTCACTCAGGTGCAGGAGCAAACAGGAACCAACCTCTACCATTTTGTCCTTTTACTCCTTACTTCTGTTCTTGCATCTAATAACTAGGACCACATTATCCCTCTGAGCTCCTGCTGAGGACTGCACTCATACTCCAGTGCAGCTGTAGCCTGTCACCAGAGGGATCCCAGGGGTGTTCATGTGGGAATAAAGCCACCACATAGCACATGATGTTTATAAACTGCTCCTGTAGCAGAATGTGGAAGTTTCCTGGGTACAAAGAGCACCTCTTGTCTGCCAGCCTTTCAGGAAGCCTACCTGTTTCCCAGCTGAATACCACTCAATGTAGTTGTTCCGTCTCTGCTCACAAACAACCTCAGGTTACTGTCTGCAGGTAGAAGAGGAAGACATCAAAATCCAGAACTACCAACGGTGGCCAGGTGCTCCCCTCCCAGCCGCATTACACAGTGGTCAGCATGGGAACAAGTGCGTTTCTGGGAATGCACGTGCACACTTTCTGGTGTTCCCACAGTAACAGAGCTCCTGGGAGCTCCTCTTCTTGCTCTGAAAGGGAGCCTCATGTACAAATCAACCACAGCATTAAGCTTTGGAAGAGTAAATGCAGAGAAATTAATTCAGTGACACTCCTCCAGCTGCTTCTTTTAAGGCAATTCCATTGATGCGAGTTCTTGGTCAGCTTAAACACATCTGAACAGATGCAATGTGGGGCCTCAAGCTGCTTTTGTAGGCTCGCTAGAGGAGAAACACAGTCTGTTCTGCTGGTGAGAGGTGGCTACAGTCAGTCTAGTTTTAACCCATGCTGTGCAAGGCGTAAATCCCCATGTAAGGTAAGAATGTTGCCACATGTGATGATTTAAGATGACTAACTATAGAAGTACTAATAACAAGCTAGGCTCAGGTTTAAAACTTAACAAACAACCTCAACTAGATGAAAAAGATTGATTTCTAGGCTAAACTGGAAAATTAAAACAAATGCAGTGATATTACTGGTTTTCTCTTAACAGACGCTGTGACTGCGATGGAGAAAATCCCTCCTTAGCTCTCAGACAGACGTGACCACCAGCACACTGTGACCCATCTTTCTTCCCATCTTTTTGCAGAGATGTGCTGTTTTCCCTCCAGTTGTGCTCTTCTACTTTAATAAATACCCTTGGGCTGACCCCGGACAAAGGCTACTAGAGCAGTGCAGACAGCTGATGTAACTGATTTCCACCACACTGAAGAATCGGTATTTTTCCCCTCTCATCCTGCACATCTGAGCTGCTGTTCAACCTCCGCTGTAGTGTGTAGAACAGCAGCAAGCACTATTTGCTAAGGGACGTGCAGCTCTCAAATCCACATGGTTTGTTTACCCACCATAGAAACACCTAGCAAACACTGAAAGCAAGTTGGTGTCAAAAGGAGAAGGGAGTCCATGGCATGTCAGATCTGACTGTAAAAGCTTGGCAGCCTTGCTAAAAGAACAGCCAAGACGCCCCCTTTGAGACTCATCCTCTCACCTTCAGTATTGCTGACATCTGTGAAGTCCTGACTCTGCATTATTTTCTCTACTATATCATCAGCATCGATCCTGGTGTCATCCACTCGGGTTGGGTGACTCTCCACTGAATCCTTTTTCCTCCTGAGGAGAGAAAACAAATGGAAAACTTGCTCAGCTTTTCAAGACACAGACTTTCAGATACTCTCCTGCCTCCTTCTCAGCAGCTACAACACAATTTACCACTGCTCAAAGACAAAGGAGTAGATTCTGTCTCGCCTTCCCAGAGAAGGCGCTTTGCTCCTCAGTTACCTACCGGGAGGGTCTATCCAGCAGAAGGGCTGGTCTCGGGGGGCGAGGTGGCTTCTCTAGTTTGTGGTCCCGCTCTCCCTCAGGACACTCCACCGTCATACTCAGCCCACCGGATGCACTGCTGCTGGTGGAGGTATTCCGGCGATGGGTCAAGTCAGACATACTAGAAGAACGGGAGTGCTCTGTGCTGTAACCTGCAAAACCAGCGCAATTACAAACCAGATCTTCTCCCCTTCCTGGCAGCACAGCTTCAGACCAGCATTTCTGCTCTCATATACAGAGGTTTAGACATACATCTATGAGATCATCTGCAGAGACTAAACAGGAGACTGATTTTAAAAAGCAGGATGAGACAGATGGCTGCAAATCACTCTCACGAGAGCTTGTTGCAGGAAAGAAAGAGGGATGGGGACACCGCTGGCAGAGCCATGTGGATCAATGATTACCGGAGATCTTGGACTGCTGGCTGGCGTAGCTGGAGTTTCGTGAGTGCCCCGAGTGGAAGACTTCCTCTGGGCTGGACAGGTTCTGATCCGGTTCTTCTGGGACACCTGCCAAGGAACAACAGGGCACTCCACTTACACCGTACCCAAGCCAGCACATTGCCTGCTGATCACCTTGGACTGGAGGCTGATCTTGGGATGCTAGATCAAGGAAAGGGCAAGTCTGTTGGCAGAGCCCTGCTGTACAGGCTAGCGCAGAGCTTAGAAGTAGCTGAGGAGTAGGGGGGACAATAATGAACTTCTCTGTTAAGCTTATCACTAATTCTAGTATCCAGCACCTGAATTTACAAGCATCTCTGGGGGTTTGAAGGATCTAGAAGGGCAGGTACTATCTGAAGCTATCCATACTTAAAAGCATTAAGCTAAGACCAAGAAAGCATCAAATGGCCCCAGCAGTAAAGTATTACAACCTCCGTTTGGGTGCTTCTCCTGTTACTACCTTTCCCCTTCTATTAGGCGTGAGAAAGCCCATGCCATTTAAATCACATCTGAATTTGATACAGAAACCTCAGCATAACCTCTGCTCCTTTGCTATTGCCCCTGCTTGTCTCTCTTGCAGCAAGCTTATCCAAAAGTGCCCAAGTGTAACACGGTAGCCAGCTTTTTAAGAAGAGCATTTGCACACCGTGCTAAGTCACTGAGGTGATGAGGCTAAAGTGCTATTTTGGTGCAGCCTGCACATTTGGAGTGTGCTGGGAAGAAAAAAAAGGCTATGGGAAAATGCAGTGCCCTTGAAAATGGGCTCATAGAGAAGCCAAAGAACTCCGCATCAGCAGCTGGAACAAGGCCATTAGACCTCAAACCAACCTCTAAAACCTTCAGAGGAACTTTTCTAGAAGATAAGCCTGAGCAACAGAATAGCTGAGTGGAGAACACTGTTAAGTGTCATTGAACACAATGGAAAGCAGGGTTGAGTGCAATACATGAATTACTAAATCACCGGCAAAAAGAACAAACTGCTTTATCTCCACTAACAGAAACATGTGGCAAAGATTCATGCTTCCTATCCTCAGCTGCTCTTAATAGATAGTTTTGTTTTTCTCAATTTTCTTAATGAGCAGAGGGGCAAGGATGGGTGCAGGAAAAAAATTAAAAATTAAAGAGTTTCTATGCTTGCAACTGCTGGGAAAAACAAGAGGGTGTCCAGGCACAGCCAAGTGTTGCATGGCTCCAGGACGGGCATTCATACCCGAGCTGAGAATGGCAGTTCTTGGCTTGGTCTGACGCAGAGAGCCAATCGTGGCTGAACTGCTGCTGCTTGTAGTTCCCTCACCCTTACAGGTCAGCTGCAGGGTAGAGTCCTGTCCCGGTATGGTGATGGATTTGGCAGTGGAAGGAGGCCTGCAATCAGAAGCAAAGAAGGTTACGGACTGCCAGGCAGGGACCAGGAATCACCCCACCGCAGCGGCAATTCCCACTCTGCTCTATTAGTTCCCCTGCCTGCACCCACCCTTCGTGGGGAAGGGGGAAGCTGGCAGTCCCCTGTCACTCATGACACAGCATGACATTGGATTTTGCTTTCCTACATGCAAGACTCGGGTCTTCCCTACCTCCTACTGCATCTAGTCTGCATTACAAGGAAAAGCAAGTTTCTGAGTTAAATTAAGACAAAAAAGGACCATTCCATCATTTATACAGGACAACAGGCTCAGAGCCTGTACTATGATCCAGAAGACCATCCAGAACTGCCCTTTTCCCTCCCAACACATGGCCAGTGGCCCTCACAAATAGGAGCCAGTTTGCTGATGTCCAGCTCTAAATTCCAGCACCCTTTTGTTGCACCTTTCCTGCTCAGGTCAAAAAGAAACCTTTTATCCCAGCAACCCCGTCCCCTATGAGAGTACTTTTACAACGGTCAAATAACCTTTCAATTTTTTAACTGATGATTAAACTCCTTTTCAGTGAGACTAAAGTGTTTTTCCAGCTGCCAAAATTAATTCTTCTGGTTATCCTGTGTGCTCCAAACATCCCTTTGTAAATGCTGACTGCCGGGCAGAGCAGTGAGTGCCTGGAGCCCCCTCCCTTCCTCCAGAAGAGTTTTTGGGTAGAAGCCACGGTGTGTGCAGCGTGGCAACGTGAATATTCTTGTTAGAGCCCTAACCTCTCTGTAGCCCAAAGTCTGAACTAGAACTAAGGGATCATCTTATGCTTTTTAAGTGAGGAGTGAGACAGAAAAATTTTTGTCTTACGTGGAGCTCTGCAGGAAGATGCTACAAGAGAGGACCTTTGCAGTATTTTGGGGAAAAAAAATAAAGCACTGAGAATGTTTTATATGGGCAGCTAAACAGCCATAAAGGTTTCAGGAAACCCACAGCATGCCTTCCCCAGGAAAAAAAACCCAACACCCTCCCTAATCATGTTATCAGTGATTTACATGCACCCAGTACCTTGGGGACTTTGCTTTGCAGGTTAATAAGGTCTTTACAGCAAACTGTTCCTACAGCAGCTGTCAGAGCAGCCCGCGGGTCTGTCAGCTCAGGCTGCTCTGCCCTCCTGCACGACACCCAGGAGGAGAAGGTTCAGCTGAGTGCTGCAGAAAGTCAGTGCTCGGAAGTGATTTCCCAGCACAGTTTAATTCCTGCCTAATCCCCTAATGAGTGTCATTTCTCTACTGATCAAGGACTATTCTGTGTGCAAAGCTTGCATTTTTAGACATTTGCACATTGTCAACATATAGGGAAAAAAAATGGGAAAGACTGCAAAAATCCTTTAAGAAAATCAGAAGGTTTGACTTTCAGACTGACCCTACTTATATTAAATGGATATATATATATCCAATTCTGTGTATTTTTCAGGCACTCTGACAGTAGGACTGTTAGCGAAGGAGCAACAGGTATTCTTGTCAGACGTATCACCAGACATCCTAGTACCCTAGATTTAAAACATCTGTTACTGTTACAAAGTTATGGTTTAAGATATCCTAAACTTCTTTATTACACTTCTTTCTGAAGCAGAATTTTTTCAGAATCAGATGAGACATCATTTAGGGTTTAAAGTCTCAGAAAACACTGCAGCGCCATGAAAAGCCACTCACAAAATAAACCAACCAAAAGTTACGCAGCATTTTATAAGAAGAATGCAAGCTAATTTATACACTTTAAGCTAGCTCCTAAAATTAGACCTTTTAGCCCAGAATACCACTGCTACAAGAAATGGCCTCAAGGTAAAGCTTTCTTCTCTCATACTGTTGGGAGTCAACACAAAATATTTCTATCAGCACATCAGTCCTGTACAGTCACAGGCCTTACAGCACATGAAGGCAGGCTGGCTTGGACTGCAGAGTCTTGCAACACCATACTGCAGTACGAAGGTACCTGTTGCCAGTCTATTTGTTAGCTGATCCCCGAATAATTCTTTAAGCAACAAAACTGCTTCATAGCTTAACTGTATTTATTCTTTCCTATCACGATGCATAGAAAAAAAAGTATTTGATTGTAATTTCTCTGCTAATTAATACCAATTGTGAACCTAGGTCCCTGTAGAAGAAAAGGAGAACTAAAGTGTTTCAATCTTGCAGTATTTTTGTTGCTGTTTCAATTCAAGATCTTTATCCTGTGTGATACGTGCTGAAGTGTGTCCATTTCCAAGACTGTTTTCTTCATTGACCTTTCCCTTCTCAAAGGTCAGGGAAACCAACCCCAGAGCTATAAGAAATTCTGTCCTTCATGCAAAGCATGAAGTTTGTTATCAACGTCCATTAGTTTCCAAAACCTAACTGACGCTAGCAGGGAAACTACTGGCACAACCAATAACCAAGCTGGGAAAACCAGAGCAGAGAACAACCCAACCAACAGCACAGGCTGGCTGATTCAAAAATCCAGACCACCAGTTTCAAGCTTTCCCCCATAATTCCCAATATCAACGGCATCTTCCCCTCCCCATCAATTTTAGTCTCCAACAGAGAACCAAAAAAAAAAAAAAAAAAAAAAAAAAAAAAGACTTCACAATCTGAAAACTTTATCCTCTGAGGCAAATACTATTTCTTCTCTTTTCATAAAAATATATATTTTTTTTTTACCATGTTAATCTGTAGACTGCTGGATTTTTAAATGTAGATGGACTTTCACAGTATAGAATATAATTATATATACAGCAAGCAGTCTAACAGGAATCCAAGAATCACCGCCCTCTTCCCCCCCCCATCAATTTTAGTCTCCAACAGAAAACCAAAAAAAAAAAAAAAAAAAAGGGCCATGTGTTCTGACCTGCCCAGAACAGGGTGAGCACCCAGAAACTCACGTTTTGAAGCAGGGGTCCCCTGAGAGCAGGGACATTCCGATTGTGACCTGGAGAGGGGGGACAAGGCACATCGTTAGCCATGCTGCGGTGAGCTCCTTGCTTCACACCAGCCAGGAGGTCAAGGGCCAGGTGTAAAGATTAGCAAGACCTAGTTCCTTTCCAAAGGAAATCAGCTTCAGGGATTTAGCAAGGTATTTCCCTCCCTGCCCCAAATCACTGGCATCAGTAACTCCAAGTTGCAGTGGCTCATCAGGACACCAGCCTGGCCACCTTGACAACACACTTAGAACTTCCCCTCCCCCCTTCATGCTTTCTTTGATAACAAAGAATGCTACCGAGGGTCATCACTTGGCCAAATGAATGCCAAGATATCAAAGGGCAACTCTGATAATGGGAAACTTCCCAAGTCAGGTTAGCAGCATAAAAGCAAAATCCTGTCTCTGTACACAACAGGACCTTCTCTCAGGCCTGCACAGCACCCTGGCTGCGACCTTTCCAAATTCTATAGCAGGATTTCCACAGTAGCAGCACCAGCTGCCATACCTTTAGGATGGAGTTGTCCTGTCGGGTGTTCTTAGTATCGTATCCTTCCAGCAAGCAGCAACGGACAGTGGATCCAGAGCCTGCAAATTCTGCCAGATTTAGATCAGCAAAGCCCAGCTGTAGCCAAGAAAACAATGGAGGGGAAGGGGAGAGAACAAAAATAATAAAAAAAAATAATGAAAAAAAAAATTACTCAATAAAGGGATACGCGGTGTCACACAGACCAAAGGAAGACAGCGCATCTGTGAGTGAGGGCAGAAACAGGAGCCAGTACACACACGGTCGTGGCTGCGAAGACCCCCTGCTCCTGAGGATGGGCAGGGTCACATTCCTTGTCCCAAGCCAGGTGGATGCTCAGAGGCCTTCAGGAAGCCAGGCCCACGTGGAGGAAGGACGTACAGTGGTGGTGGTGGCCAGGACAGTGTTAATCAGCCCGCAGCCGTTGCATAACCAAGGACATGGAAGGCACTAGGTCAACGATGTGGAAAAAACAGAATCACACATACACAAACATAATAAGGCACTCTTTGTATCGGGCCATCCCAGAATGCAGTGGAGCATGTGAACCAGGAGATGAAAGGATATTGTTACAGAGGAAAGTGACACTGTCCTGAAAAACAAACCCGAGACACTCAGCACAGCGAGCCTGGAAGCCCAGAGCCATGCAGCAATGCATGTGCCTCATTCCCACAGATGCAGCTGCTGGGCTGGGGAACTCTCAGAGCAAGAGTTTCCTCCACATTGCTAAGATTTAACTAGCAAGTGGTATGTCTGATGGGCAGAAGGGAAGAGAAGTATTTGGAGAGATTTAGTTGTGAGCTCTCTAAGCCTTCTCTAACAAAGGGGAAGCAAATAGGGAGGGTGACAGAAAGTTGAAGATGATAAGCAAATTCAAAGAGGGTACTGATGCCTCTAGAGTAAAGACAAACACAATGAAGAGTGTTTTTGCTTTTGTGCTCTAATTCCTGGTGTATTAACACAGTGTTTCAAGGAAAAAGTTACAGCTTCTTTTATACAATTGAACAGGGAGCCCCAAACAGTAGCATCATCCTAAGGAAATGTGATGCTCTGTCAACTGTGGAAGCTGATAGGAGTCACAGCACAAACCCCAGTCACTGCTGCGTGAACCCTGGCTCCCACTGTTCCAAATCAAAAGTCTAAAACCACATTCTGCACAAGATACATGATTCAGGGGAAGACAGGAGCAAGATTAGCATAGCTGCTGCCTCCATCCCATCCTCAAAGGGGAACAAGAGCTGATGACAAAGGAACAAAAAGTGTGGGATAGAGCAGGAACCTTTCTCCCTCTTTTCTCAAGAATTCCCCTAGTGCAAGTGTTTCTCCAGACCTTGCTGTAGATGTTCTTCTGTCTCTCCTAGCCAAGGGCTACAATGCTTGCTGAATATTCACTGTTTTTTCCTTATCAGTGAATTTTTATCTCCAAAATAAACAGGACAGGAGAAAGCCACAGAGGGAGCTGCAATCCATCAGTGTGACAAAGCTGGAAGACAGAGGAGACACGGCATGACCACACCAGCAGAACAACATGGCACAGGGATGGCCCAGTCCCAAATCCCTCTAACTTCTCCAAGAAGGTCAACATTGGAGGACAGAGTGTGGGAGAACACCCCAGTGACCCATGTGGTATGCTGAGGTCAGAAGCTCTTCTCAGGAAGCAGACTCCCAGTATATAGAGGAAGGATCCCTTAACAAAAGGATGTTTTCAGATATAACCTTTCAGAATAGTTTCCTCAGTTTTCCAGCCAGCTGATGGTGTTTCTTCCAGCTCAGGGAAAGAATTTCCGCTTTATCAGTCCTTCCTGTTGGCTTCCGCTCTGTAACCCCTGACACTGAAGTGACATTAACGTCAAACCAAAAGGTGCGCAAGTCAATGGAAACTCTGTCTTGAGCACAAACAGCTCCATCACTCTCAGTCCCTGCTGAAGGGGGACCAGGTAAAGAGGGCATTCATAAGCTGTGTTTTCCTCTACATCTGCTGCCACAACCGGAGGATTTTTCAGCTGAATATAGTTTAAAAAGGTGAGGACTCATTGTTGAGAATGGGAAAACAGCTGCATGAACATACACCACACACTTCTTCTAGAAGCATTGGGAATCCCAAGTATGTCAGTTCTGCCATGAGGAACTGTTCCAGTTTGCCTGGAACAAACCTGGTCCGCAGGGCAAGACTGCAAGGCTTAATCACCCTGCCTGGTGTGACATCCCTCATCTTTGAGCTGCCAAAACGCTTGGGTCATCTGCTGAATTCTAGGAGAACATGTCTGTCTTCTTCATAGGAGACCAAGCAATACACCAGCCCAAGAGATGACAAATACTTGAGCTTTGGTTTCCATTTCTGGGCTGGAGCAACTAGGTCTCTCTCAAAATGTCACTAAACACAACTGGAGACTGAGTAAAAGGGAAGTAGGTTAGAACATGGCCTGAATAAGAGCCCAGGTTAACTCCACCATGGAGACATGCCTTCAGTCTTCCTTTAATTCTGCATTTCCAAATACTGTGGGAAGCTTGAGGATGGATACTTCAGGAGGAGCAGGCTGATGCATTTACTTTGTCTAAGAGGCACGCCTCTTCCTCCAGCTATGCTGCTCTCCCTGGACAGGCGGCTCTGCAGAATGGAGGAATAACCTCCCCCCAGTGTGAATTTAGTGAAAGAGAAACTGATGGCCCTAGAGACCATGTCCTAATTAGCAACAAAAAAGGAACAGTGTGGTGTTGCTCTCTATCACACAGCACAGCAGTACATAGGAGCGAGTGCAGTTCACCCTTCAAAGCCAGTTGCCTCCATGGTCTCAGGAAGGATATAAATTAGAAGAAATTCTTACAAAGTCGTGCATGACCTGAACATCTGTTTATTAGAAACTAGCAGCAGTGACTCATTTTCAAATAAACATGGTTTCGGGCTCTGTGCGAGCTCAACTTCTAAGCCAACATTGTCTCTTGATCCAGCACAAAGAGGAGAAGGGGTGGCCCATTGTCTCCCATAGCACAGGCAAGAAAACAGGAGGGAACAAACCAAAGCATCCCTGCTGATCAGTCTGGGTTTTGCCTCAGTGTCTCTTGTGCTCTGGAATGTGGTGATTCTGCTGTAGGTTTCTGCCTGCACTCGCGAGGCAGCGAGGTGCCTACCCCAGCCACAGCTGGCTGCTGTGTTCTGGAGAACAGAACTGGAGTCTGCGTTTCTTTATGAGCGAGACGTTGCCAGAAGCCAGAGAGTTCACATCTGACTCAGAACTTCCCCAAAGTTTGAGGACATGCAGATCATCTTCCCAACCCCCTTCTCAAATCCACATCCAGTGCAATCTGGATCCTGTCCCAGCAAGTTGATTTTTTCGGGAAATCACTTAACTCAGAACTAAGAACTAATAATTGTCTCTCCAGATTGCTTCATGCAGCAGCCACTGGTTTCTAACGGGTGTAAAGCACTAACAGAAGACAAGACCATCATCACTCTGCCACATTTGCCCTTTCTGTGCTCTTACCTTTGAGTAGGTTTTTCCGCCCTTCAGCTCCTATAATGGGAGACAAAACAAACAGGAAAAGCAGCTATTTTATGTGCTGGGGAAACAGGGGGAAAGTAATTACTCAGTCCTGGAATTTGCTCTCAGGATTTCACAGACCTCTGCCTCTCAAGGCTTACCACCGCCCTGGTTGCTCCCACCCTCTGTCAAGCACCCTTGCTGGAGAGAGAGGCTCCGTTCAAGTCACATCCTGGCCCAAACAATCTTTCCTTCCCACCACTGTCCGTTAAATTTTTCTTGCTGCCAAAAAAGCAGCTAGTAACCAACACCAGTACACTAGTACTACCTGCCAGAAGCAGAAGCTAGACGCTCACCTTACGGACAGATACTCGGCAGATGCAGGGGTCCAGGAGTCCTGTGGCTGGGTTGGCACTCATTTTACAAACAAAGGTGAACTTCTTTTTCCAGCGGACACAGTTTTCCTGAACTTCCTCTCTATAAGAATGCAAAAAACCAAAACAAAACAGCAGTCTTCAAATAAAGGTACAAAGCTGTATCAATCCCGACTATTAAGTATCTTTTTTTAATGACTTGTGACCTGGCCTGCAAAGATCCTCTACAACACAGCTTGGTCCACACCACCACCTGCAACGGCGCCACACAAAGGTGTTATGTTAGCATCAAGCTTTTCACTAGTCAGTACAGGTAAAACCCACTGAGGTTACAGGGAAGGCTAATCAACTCATCAACAGAATTTGCCTTAAACTCTCACGAGCTCCCTGACATTTCCTGCTTAGCCAGTTTAGCTCATTCACCATCCGGCCCGGACAGATCCAACCTCCATAATCGAACTGGGCTGAAGGTTTGCAAGCTTATCTTCCTACAATGTGCCTGTTTTGTACAGCCTCTGTACAGCAAACGTGCTATGTGTCCTGGACGGCTTGTCCTTCCCAGGCAGCCATCCTGCTTCGTATGCTGGGACTAAGCCAATGAGGACGGCCAGCTTGAAGGAGAATAAAAATGCACATGGAAATGCTCCTGGGTGCACGCAGACAGGACCATGCCAAGCAAACACTGTGCTTCAAATCATGGGGAATGTTCAGACCATAAAGCAATCTCAGCCAGGGAGGAGGCAGTTTTCCTTGCACAGCTCCCAAGCAGCCCCCTTGCATCTCCAGGGCAAGTGGAGAAGTGCATGGCTCCAGTATAGCCTTGAGGATTAGTAGCCTTCCCGAACAGAGGAATCACTTCAGGTACAGCTTTGGCTTCTGCAGAGCCCTTGGGGAAGCTGGATTTCACCCTTCAAAAGGAAGCAGGTTCAAAGGAGCCCAGAAATGAAGTGTGGGTGTCCTTCCACAGGGCTCTGGTTCCCCACTGAGCCTCTGCAGGACCTGATCCATTTAACGCTCAGAGCTTGGTCCTCAGCCAATTAAGTTCTCAAAGTAATGAGGGCAGGGGGGGAGGGAAAGGAAGGGATTTTTGACAGCTATAGCTTGCTCTTATCTCTCCTCTTAGCACAGGACAAAGGGGCAAGGGCACCTGATAAAGTGTTTGCTTTAGCAGGGAAAGGGAGGCTTCCCACCATCTGACCTGGGCACTGCGGGAGCCAAAGAGATTGGTGGCAAAAGGGAGAATGATCAGTCTTGGTACGGCCTCCGCTCTCCTGGGAAGGTAGGGGAAAAGTTGGTGCACAGCCCAACAAGCCCCTTCAGCAACCTCAAGGGGAACCCAACAGCATGGATACCAGGGATGGGATCCTGACCCAGGAGGTCCCCTCTAGTCCTCTGAGCTATTTTGCGGGACCTGAATGTGCCGGCCAAGGCAAAAACAGAGAACAGAAAAGGAATAGCTGACAAATAACTGAAACCTGTAATCCTCCGTAATGCACATAAGGGCTGATCATCCCTATTTAAAACGTGGGAAAACAGAAGGCAGTAATTCCTTCAAGGAAGTGAACTTAAACTCCTTCCAGACAGAACTAAGGCTGGCTATTGAAGTAATTGAAAAGTGAGACATCTAAGTGCCGAAAATACCTTTGAATCTGGGATTAATTCAAGATGAGATCTGGTTCTCATTGCTCCACTCAACTCACTCCAGCTCCTTCAGACAGGAGAAGAAACACTTCCAGAGGGATAAAAAGGCTTTGGCTGTAATAAAATATTCACCAAGCCAGCCAAATTAGGCAAGTTAAATTTTAGATGCTGAGGTGCCTTAAACCTGATTTAATAGTATGTATCTCTAATGACCTAAAGGAACGAAAACTCAGATGCAGATGAAGAAAGGAGTTCAACAGAATAGAAAAATGTGTACACACGTGCTTCAGAAATGCAAGGAAGGTACATGGGATGCAGAAAACACTGAATATTTTAGCACCATTAGACACGTTTAAAAAGGAACCGCTATTTTCTAGAGAGCGAGGCTGATATTAATTCTGCTAATGACACCAGAGCTTCGAGCTGAATCCTGGAAGGCAGCTACAAGCAAACGAACTTCAGATCTGACAGGTACAGCAGCACACTGCTGCAAACCTCGCTCACAAACACGGCTCAGAACTATCTCCCGTCACAAGCAAATATGTTAGTGGCTAAGCTCCAGCTCCTGAATGCCCATCGCATGCGCCTGGCTCCCCGCAGCTGCTTCGTCAGTTGGATCAGCAAGAACTGCTCTAACGTGCAAGTTTCCTTACTCATGACTTCTCATTTGGGTTACAATGCAGTTATGATTAAGCATCTGCTGGATGCTGCTAAGTCCAATGAAGGCTAATTACTTCAAAATGTGGCAAAAAGTACTGATTAGTAATAAAGAGCTCCTTCATAGCTGATTTGCTGCTAGCATAAGCTCTGCTAACAGACATTCTGCTTCTTATTAAGGATGTATGTTGGCTTTCCAAAACTGCTGTAGATACCACACGGTGCAAGGGATTAAGAAAAGCACTGGGGGGGTGGGGGGTTATGTTACCCACAGCACCGCGAACACGAACCCAAGCTGCAGGTGCATGCGTAGCTTGAAGCTTTTTATGCCTTTGGAATAGTCTGCACAGGGAAGAAAAGAGTTTACAAGATAAAAACACAGAGCTGCTTTCCAGTCACAAGTTTCACAATCATTCAACAGTGACTTGCAACTTTCTTTTTCACTTAAAAGAGTGGCTTTTAAGCATGGGGGCTGGGTCTGTACTGTTAGACAAGCAAACGACACCACTATTGTTTCAAGCCAAACTCTAAAAAATTAGTTCCACATTTCCAAAAGATGGCATTTGGGGAAGCGATGGGCTTTGTCTATCCACCTCCCATCAAGCTATCGTCAGGCTGGTAATTAGAGAACACCAAAATAGGGAAAAAAGTGGACTCTGATGAGGACCAGTTTTGTATTTAGCCCTAAAATATTCTCTGATGTACAATTAGGAACCATCACACAGAAACCAAAAACACACAAGAAGCGTGGTGAGGGCTGCACTGAGAGGCGTTTCTTTCCATCCTAATCACAAGGCACCTAAAAGCAAAGCAGAAACTAACAGCTTAAAACCAGAAGTGTCTAATTTTAAGTTTCACTCTGTATTTGGAGAGCCAGAAATAGATCAGACCAATGCCTGGTACTAGGTGCCAATTCAACGGGTCTTCAGAAGTTTTATTTTAAAAAAGCCGTCTGTACCATTTTGCAAAAAGACTCCCAGAAGGTTGAATCCCTGCCAAGCTAAGCTTTGCCCTCTTCTGACTTGAGACTTATTCAAAGCTGGGTAATTACTCTTCCAGGCCTAAATATACCTCCTCAGAATAAACTGATGCAACCCTGCAGCAGCTTTTGTGAAAAGTGGAGTTCCAGAAAGAGCTTCTTGGGGTCTTCCAACCCTGGGGCTGCTCACCTACCTCCAGCTCTTTGGCCAGTCAGAAGGAAGAGTTTACTGCATCCCCCACCCTACCCATTGAGAGAAGATTTACCAGAAAAAGAGCAATTAGAAGACATTTCACCATAGCACAGTATGAATCCAAGTAATGGGAAAAATGCATAGGAGCGACCCATGGGTTTATCTGCTTTTACAGAGTAGCAATGCACTTGGTGAAGCCACCAAGGCCTCTCTGGGTTTGGATCTCATGCATAGCCTTACTGCAGCTCTGGAGACAGGTGGAGGAATGAGCAATGTTTAGAGGAGAGATGTTCACCAACTGTGATTTTAGTGCCGCAGACAGAGTACCACTGTTACAGAAAGCCACAAAGCTCACTATGAATGCAAGTTAGCTAAAGCAAACACTTCTAGAAAAAGGCCACGTATACGACCCATGCTATCTTGGGCTACCATGGGCCTCTGTCCCACATGAAAACCTAGCTAATGAAACGCCAGAACACCAGATTAAAACTTCTATTTACAGACTCAAAGCTGAGTTGCACCCAACTGGGTATCATGCTTCAAACACACAACCCGCTGAAACAGTTTTGCCTTGCTGGAACATTTAGAAAAGCAAGTGTTTCACTCTTACTTTATGGCAGTAGTCACACATAAGACAGTTAAAAGTACGAAACATCATAAAAAGGCCACAGGCTTACTGGGAGGGCAATGGCAACAAAAAATAGCTTTCTAATAACAAATGTTTCAGTAGAGCAATGCGTCTCAAGTCTGATGTTTCATGTGCAGGAGCAGATGTGGGAAAACCTCAGGCTAAGTGAGACAGTATATAGGTAAGCACACAAAGAGCTTCTTACTCAGATTTCCTCCCCCTCATCTACACAAAGAGGGAGGGCAAGCTTTCTTATTTCTGATGCCCAACCCACACGCTCACCGTCCCCCCTCTCGGAGATGCGGATCTGTGTCGGACCCTTCAAGCAGAACTAATCCTCCTGCCTGCTGGCAGCAGACGGTACTCTGCGTCCTCCTCGCTGGTTCACCAGTGCACGCAGGAGCGCAACATCACTGAAGCAGCATCTCAATCTGATAAGGCACAAAAGATAACACCACTTCAAAGAGGCCAAGGAACCAAGTCCCAGCTCAGATTCATTTAAGTGTGACAGATCGAAAAGCAGCCCTCAAAGGGGCCCTGACACAGTCCAGCAAGTGGGTCTTTTGGGGAGGAAGGTAACAGCCTCAGTGACGCAGATACAATCCCCTCAATCACAGAGGGAGGAAAAGAAAAAAAAAAAATCAAGTTATTTCAGCAGATTGCATCTGAAGGGCATCTTCTACAGCACTTCTTTACACAGCTCTGCTTTCAGCTGCAGAGACCCACCATTAAGACAGCCTCATCTATTCCCCAGCACTTCTGAAGGCTGAATTAGAGCAGGATCACTGACACTCCCTGAGCTTGGCAAGGTCTGGAACAACCCCGCGTTATGCTCCAGAGAAGATAGTAACTATTTTAACCAGGTTATCTAGTGCAAAGCTGTAGGAGAGACCTTTGATAAAGGCAAGGAAAAGTCCCGGAAAAACCTGTTTCAAAACTGGATTTCCAAGATCCCAATGTTCACACCACTGTGCTCACATCACACCAAAATTTATACCATTCTGC